AAATTAATGCACAAATTACTATGGAAACAATGAAAGAACGTTTTAGGACACTTTTTAAATTCTTTATTCTCCAATTCGGTCGTTAATGAAAATTTATAGTCGTCTTGAGTGGAAAGAGAAGAGAAATGTTTAATGTTTTCTATCTAAACATTTTCTAATTTATCATTTTCGTACAAGGAACTTTGCAAAAGTTGTCAACAAAGAGATTAAGATGGCAGTCTGTAGGAACAACTAAATAATCTGGATTTGCGTAACCTCTTACAGGTTTCATATAGAAACATCTTCCGATAGTATCCTTATGAAAGTTATTGTTCACATTTAGCGCTGCAAACTTCTTGAAGCATTTTTCCAACAATCTACAAACAATTTAAAAAACTTGAATGACAAAAGTCTACATTTAGATGGCCATGGAAGATTTTCTTTCAATTTCGAAGGGCAGTTGGATGAAATAAACGAGAGTAAAGTATTCTGGAGTGAAAACTTGGAAAGAAATCTTCCATCTCCAATTCTATGTGATTCTACTGTGATTTTGAATCGGTTGTATATCCATAGAATTCGTATGGCTTTCTGTCGTCATAGACGAGAATATCTCTCTCATTTATGTCTTTAACTACTTTTAATTCTATAGAAAGAGTAAAAGGGATAATAAGCATCAAATTGTCTATTAATCAAATAGTAGCAGTACTTCCTGGAACCTCTCTTAGAGACACTCTAAATGGTGTTTCCTTAATTTCTCTATTAGTGGAAAAGAATTTAAATTCGCCTTTTGAAATGTAGAACAGCGATCCATTTCTCTTTTCGCACTCCATCGACGCTCTATTTATTGAGACGCTTTTTTCATATTCAATGTGTATGTAACAACCATCCTGAACACTATACGTATTTGGTTTTAAGCATTGGACATCTAGATAGAATACCAATAATCTACTAGATGAATTACAATTATTAACTAAATACCGGAAGTATCTTTGCAGTTTAAAACAGTTTGATAAAAAAATGGATATGCAAATCTATTAGAAATTGCGTGTGTTTGTGTGTATGTGTAAAATGTTCAAAAATTAAATAACTACAAACTTGAATATTGTTGGTTTGGTGAAAGTAAAATTGCATTTTGATAAATTAAATGGATTTTGACATTGCATTGAAAATTTCAAATCGCTATTAAAAGAAGAATATTGTGTATGTTTTTCCAATGTACCAGTTTTAAATCCAAAATATTTACAAATATTCAACACTTCGTAAGTTTTTAATTTGCTTGGTTTAATACTATACCAGTCGTTTTGGTAATAGATTAGGACTAAGCCTTTAAACTCTTTTAACGATTTCATTATTCCCTTTGTTGTTTTGCGCAATGCATTTTCGCCGGCTCCAACCATAATAAATTCATAATCTTAAAAGCTTTTGACATTAGTTAAAGAGAAAAAAAAGGGTTGATAATTGCTTACCCAAAACTCCGGAAGTACACTGTGATGCTATCACTATTCCTTTCAGGAATTCTACTTCTACACAACTGTTGAAAAAATCCTTGTCCCATCTACAATTTATAAACATTGGCGCTTTTCTCTTTTCCCACGAATAGCCCAATTGAGGGCAAGTGGACAGTTTTTTTAATTTTCGAGTTGATTTCTTGGAAAGAAGCGTGTTGTTATTCTAATTAAAAAATGATGATTATTTATCTACAATAGTCTTGGAAACTGTTATCTTCTCTTGATAATTGGGAATTTCAACTTTTCCATCAATTGCACAAATCAATTTCGATATTAGACTTTCTCCAACAGAATGAAAGATTAATGGTAAATATCCATGAGTCTTGGATAAAATCAAGTATGCAGTCATTTTATTAAGATTTTGAAAGAATAGATATTTCTTTAAAAATGGCGACATTTTAATCAAAATGAAATCTGGATAAGTAATTTCAATGTAAACTTGTAGAATTTTATTCAATAAAATGAACCATTCAATTCCTTTTTAGTGCATTCAACACTTTCAGAGTCAGGTGTCGTTGATTTTAAATCCTTGACAATAAATTTCCATTCAATTGTCTCATTTTTATGAATGTTTAATAGAATTTTATATCTTATATTTAATTTTAGCAAAGTTGATTTATCTTTATAAAATTCACTTTTCTTGCAAATTTCTCTTTTCTTTGTTGATTTCTTTTTTAAAATATGAAAATTTTCTCCTCTAAATCTCATATAGATTTTATAAATTTCCTTTTTTTCATTTTTTGCAGAAAAGAAAACTGTAAAAGAAGAAGAAAGAAAAAAAAACACCAATTTAAAAAAAATATAAAATGTTTGTAGTTTTGTTCTGACTCGTCGAATTCATTTTGAAGCACTTTAAACAAAATGAACCAACGTATTTCTTTGTCGATAACACTTGTCTATGATGTAAAATTCAAATATTTTAGTAAAATAGGAAATGGCCACTAGAGGGAGATTTTTCTTACAAAAAATACTTTCCCGATTTTTCTATTGGTATTAATGATAAAAAATCTGAATGTTAAATTTAATTGCTTAGTCAATTAATCGTATTTCAGTTATTATTTTATATATTTAAGAACCATTTTCTGGGTCACAAACGTGAGCTACAAAATGAAAATCATCATATCCAAGCATCCTGCAAAGTTCTTTATGCTGTTCCTCTCCAATATTAATCCCAAAAGCAAGATTATATTTATCATTTCCATATTTAGTTTGTAAATAGATTTTACCATAAGAAAATATTTCGTTATCAATTAATGGTTTCATGTGATACGTTACGTGCTTTTGGTCTAAATACGATGAGAAATATTCGTCATTGCTAAATCTACATTGTAAATGTACATCTGAAATTATGAAAAAGATAAGATAAATGATAAATTCCCTAGACATTATCATTGTATCTCTTGTGAACAAATTTCGACTACACCTACATATATATTTTCATATTGTACCTGAATATTTCAATTTAGCATATAATGTTTCCTGTTATTTTAATCTGATACTATTAATCTTCCGTTAATTGATATACATTAACAGGGTACCAGTTTTCAACAACACAAATGTTGAGATTATCTAGCAAAATCATGATAAAGGTAGTAAATGTTTGTTCTAGTACTATTTGAAATTGAATACAATAACTAACAAGCGATTCCTCTAATTTTATTTTTCGAACAAATATTTTAGTCTATAGAGATATCTAGGAGTTGAAGAGGAGTTTGCAGGTTATCCAGAGTAATTATGAATCTTGAGATTGATCCTTTGATTTTCTTACAACATTTATATTTGCAAAAACTGACTTGGGCTGAAGAATTTGTCATGAATAAGCATAATTTCACACGACCTTCGCTCATTTCAACGCTTTTCCATACTTAAATATTGTTGCAAATGTCAAATTCTTGATTAGTATTCACTTTCCTGGCGTAAATTTGAAGAGTTTCAACAAATTGAAATTGAAATAAGAGAGGACGATAATTGGTTAATTGATAAAATGTTGAGTTGTTTCTATCAAAGAAGTTAGATAACATTTGAAAATTCTGACAATAAAAATTTAAATATTCAAGACCGGAAGTAGATTCAATCAGACTGAAAAATCTCAGGTCTACAATATTAATTGAATAGTTATGAATTGTAGCAAGTTTGGTGATAGTCAAATTGACAAAATTAGTTGAAAAACCCTGTTGAAAGTGATAAGTTTGTTGGATTTTTGAAGAATTCAACAGCAATTTTTGATCGTTGTAATGAACTATTTCAAATTCTCGGATTGTATTGATTCTTTTTAGCATTTCCATTTTGGAAATTATATACATTTGATCGAATTTAACATATAACCATTGGCCAAGAGTTCTGAGGAATTCCTCAAGCTGATGATGACTTTCACATTTGCCTTAACAATGATGACCAAACCACTAATTCATGCAATGTAAGTTTTAAATACCAATTGAAAATTTCAACAAATGTACATTTAATATTCTTGCAGGGTGATTCTGGTGGCCCATTGAACTGTCCAATTGGACTCAACAACTCTATGCAAATAGCTGGTATCACATCTTTTGGTATCATATTCTGCCCACCAAATAGACCAGCTGGATATGCCCGTGTTTCCTTTTATTGTCAATGGATTGAAGACAACATGACTGATTAAATATGTTTCATAATAAATGAATTGTACTTTGTTGTATTGTATTGCCAAAGTACTTAAACAAATAGAACCTTTCCAGTTCGTCCACAAATAGTGTAACAAATGCAATTTCGATAGAAATTAATCAACAATCAACAGCAGTATTTCGTGCAAAGAATATGTATTGAGTAAAATGAGCTTCTAGTTCTAAACAAGCTAGTTTAAACAACCAGCTGATGTTTATAGAAATGAACTATGAACTGTTAATTTTGTAGGGTTTATAAAGTAATGGTCTAAAACATCTGGATACTGTAAATTTCGAAAAATTTTGGTTTGTGGACCAATATTTTTACTGTTTTTGAATTTGACGACCATCTTTTTCGATGCACTTACTTATTTTACCTCCCATCCCTGCATACAGATTTGGTAATAAGCAAGGAATCAGTTGAAGTCATTTGTGATATTGGAATCATAACCAAAAATGGATTGTGTTCTAAACCATTACTCATCAAATATAAAGGACTTCTATTTTCAATTGATCCAATCCTACATCATGCCTACCACAAAACAAAAGAAGATATAAGATATGGGGAATGTGACCAAACACAATATCTCTTTAAAATAAAAAAGAACACTTCTCCATAAATAAGCCTAACACATTAAAGTGCTCATATTGCTGAGATTTTAAATGAAAAACATACATTTTCTTTCTATAATGATATGAAGAACATTTTACTACTATGTCTACCGAGTAAATACCATAGCCCAGGAATATTGATATGACAAGTGAATGAGTATTGTTAGTGGAATGCATATTTTAGAGTAGTTTATTGTTTACAATTACATTTGTCTTCCTAATATTTAAAATACAAACATACAAGTCCTAAGATAACTAAAACTCAAACAGCAACGCCGATTGTAACACCTGTTGATGGTGGATTATCTGGATCTATTTGACCATGTGCAGATATATGCATATACACACCTTTCCCAGTCTGAAAATCATTATCAGAATGAAAAACAAAAATAAAAGTTGGTCCACAAGCCATTAATGTAAAATTTTCTGTTTTCCCACACCATTTCTTTACTAGTTTTTGTTTATTTCCATTTCCATCATATAATGCTACATAATCATCTTGACATTCAAATGAATATTCAATGTCTGTTTTATCAACTTCAATTTTTATCCTAGCATCATAAGAACTAACCAAAAATGTTCTGCATTCATGAGTATTAGGTTGATAGACAAATTTGGAAAAATACATATTCTTAGATATTGAAAAACCTCGAAAGTCAATCTCTGCAATATTACTATCATTGCAAATCTTATTGCTTTTTACTTTCAACAAATGTAGGATTATTACAAAACCTGCAAAATGTAAAGAAAAAAAATATGATTTGTAAATATGATTATTATAAGATTACTTGAATAAGTTAAATGGTGCATATTTTTTATCCAATTATGCTAAGAGCTTTTACTCTTAAATCGTTTTGAAGAAAGTAAGAAAAAGTGAAATTGAAAGTGAAAACAAAGGTTAAAAGTTTGGGAAAAAGTATTACATTTATATTCAAGAGAAAAGCTTGAATAGCAACCAGGCTACATAATTGATTTATTGATCTTATGACAACCAAACATTATATGAAACAAAAATCTCCGCTTTTCTCTCTGGTCAATTGATATAATTGATTAAAGCTTCAATAATCATTATTAATCTGAAATATGCTACAAACTTAAGCCTATCTAAGTGATATAAATTTATATGAATCAAAATGTAAAATTCATGCTTCAGGAAAGTTAGAGAAAGATGTGAGATATAAAGTAGACTGCATAAAAACAAAAAACACTATGAAATATTTTCTACCACAAAAAAAGATTTTCATTTCATTTTTTTCTGTCTTAAATAATAGTTAAAGCATAGACATAAAGTAAACTTCCTAAAAATTGGAACACCTCGAATTTTAAATAGGCCAACATATTAAAAATGTTTTTCACTAAGAAAAAAGGTATTTGTTTAATTTTTTTCTGCATAAAATGTTAGATGAAGCTTAAATTTATATATAATTTTCTTTTAAATACGATTTAGGTAAGATTTTATATTATTTTTTTTTTGTTTATGCCTGAAAATCATCAGGTTTTTTTGAGATTATAGGAAAGGTATCTTTCAAGAAATCATATTTTTCTTCTTCATTGATTGAAGGAGATTTGTGATAAAGATTTATTATTTTTATTATTTCAACATCAACAGCCAATATGTATCATATATATAAAAATTTTGTGTTGGATTTGCCACATATGTTTGTTATCTAAACATCTATTTTTAGCAAATTACATAGAAAATTTTGAATGTACTTTTTTTGAAGAGGATAAAATGCTTAGTAATATAGCTAGTTCAGAATTAGGGGCTACTTGCACTCAAACGTCAGCAAATGGCAATAATAATTGCGAAAATGCAATTAGCAGATTGACGCATATATCTTGGGTAGGCGATTGTAAACCTGGATTATGAACAAGAACATGCGTTAGCCAATATATATCAATAACATTTATATTTCCAGCAATACCAATAATGAGTTGTTTATCTAATAGGTTACTTTTAAATAATGGAAAATACAGTTTTTTTTACAGATTGTAAATTTATTTTCAGACATCAGTACTCTAAAAGAATTAAAAACATCAATCTAATATGGAGTTCAGGCTTTACTGAACTTATAAATCTCTTAAATAATGCAGCTGTTTAGTTTTTCAATTATTCAAATACTCCAATGATTGAGACAAATGTGAAAGTTGTCATTGAATATGTTTATTTCAATACATTAATATATTTGCAAATAGTAAAAAACCATTTTCTTTATGACTTTTAAATAGCTATTGGAACATTTTTTATCTTTTTTCTTTTGCCTCCAAATACAGAGTTGAGTGAAAAAGTCTACAGCACTCAATCAGAAAATTATGCAATATATCCTCTACCAAGTCATCTTCAACAAGATTTTACCTGTCTGAAATTTAAGGTTAAAGGCAAGGATAAGGGTCAGTCACAAGATTGTTCATCCGTGATAATTAGTATGAAAAATGACACCTCCATTCTAGTGACAATAAAGCTTGACGAGTTCATTAATGGAAAAAGAATTTCATCAATTCAAGTTCAAACTCCTTTGGAGAAAAATATACAATTACGCAATAATAAACGACTAATTGAATGTGAAATTTGGAATGAATTTTGGTTGGAAAAAACTGGTATAAATATTAATTTTGGGTCTGGTAAGGCATATGGGTCCTACATACTAGGAAATATTGAATTGGATTCACCTTTAGATTTGAAGCAGATACTATTTAAAAATGGTGTTGAAAATTTAGTGAATTCTGTCCAAATATCTGATAAAGGTATCAATTTGTTTTTACTGAATATTGCTCTTTTTGAACAATGTCTATTTTCTATTCTTTAAAATAAAAATAACACTGCTAAAAACAGAAGGAGAAAAAATCGATAATTATGAAGAGAATGACTGCAAAACTTTTATCAATTACATGAATCTATTGATACATGTACTCAATTAACAAACCAGAATACAGTGTTAAAATATACATTGTCCAATGGAAAGGACACCAACAACAATACTGATTCTTTAATGATATTTAAAAAGAGTACTCAATTGTCTGGCAATGTAGAAATTAGTATCATGTCCACAACAGCTACAGTGGGAAATTATAAACAATATAAGCAATGCACATCTAAACCTGTAATTGACAAAGTCATATATCTTTTTGTCTATTTTAAATGTGAAAAATATGAAAATTTCAGTTCTACAAATTTACTTTTCCATAACTTCTTATCAGAAATAATTGACATTGTAAAAGTATCATTTTGTGAAATTCAAAAAATTCCATAAAAAATATCTACGCCAAAATTTAACTGAAAAGACGAAAGAATATTGTCTTAAAATGATTAGTTAAAGTCTAGACTGGTCTAGAGTTATTTTTATAGATGAGGCTAGATTCTCACTTAGCGGACCTGACAACTTTAGGACATAGACTAATAGCAAAAAGGATTTGAGGGTGATAAAAAATATGGGGAGAGGTGGAGTGTTGGTGTTGGTGCACAATATTTTGAAACATTCATCAATTTCCGTGTGAATAGAACTTAGATTTAATTCTTGCAATATGAGTACATTTGTATGTTCTTCAGTTAAGATAAGAAAGTTTTCAGTGGCTAAACAACAACTTTCCAAATTCCAAAATTATGTATTCTTTGTTAGTTTTTAAAATGTTAAAATGTATTTAATGTTTTCCATTGACATATTTTTATATGAGCAAGGAATTAATTTTACTGTTGAATTATTTTCAATTTCTTTACATTCATCACTTTGCTTTTTGATTTCTTTGTCCAAGTTTTCATTGTTTTCTTTTTCATCCTTCTAAAAGAAAATTGTATTTAACAGTGTATGTCTTTTTTTGTTTGCATCTCTAAATTCTTCTCCTAAACTTCTGGAATTGATTTTGTATTAATTCTATTGATCTTCTTTCTTGTTCATCAAATTTCTTTCCGAATCTTTCAATATTTCTCTATCTTCATCCAAGATCCTAAACAGATTCCACACATAGAGTTATTGCTGTCTAAGCTATCTTGTGTAGCCATTTTATGATATTTGCAATGATTAAATGACGCAGTTTTGTACACAGCTACCATAAAGTAGAATTAGAGTCAAATGTACTCACCTAGTATCTGTAAAATTCTGCACTTGTTGTAAGCTACTTTAGAAATAATGATATATGTAAACAGTATGAGAAAATATTCATGAATCTGTTTCTTAGATTACAAATGGCATTCTTTTCAATGAGAACTCTATTTTAGGAACAGGATTTTCAAGATATTGATTTCTGTTGAGAATTATTAAGCTGTGAATATAATAAAGAAGAATCAATTCTATTGATTGAATTCATTCATTATTTTGTGAAATAGACACTCTTTAGTGTTCATCCTTCTATTGAAAAATGATGCATTGATTGAAGCATCACTATTAACTGTGTACATATTTTCCTAAAGTAATTGTAAAATTTTTCAGACTGTGAATTAACAAAAAAATTATCAACCAAAAAGATTTGTAATTGATTTTGAAAAGGCAAAGCAATTTTTTTTGTTTCGAGAATTGTTTAAATCACTGGTCTCAGGCTGTCTTTAGAAAAAGCCAGGTAGTAATTATGAATTGAATTTTGAAATCATTAATTTTGAAGAAACATTACCAGTTTGACTATAGTAGAGACTATAAAAAGAAAACAAGAGAGTTGTATGGAATGAGGATTATGTTAGCTCTTCCATTTCTTCATGCTAATACCATAAAACATTACTTTAAAGAGATTAAAAATAATGTAGCCCAGATTGATAAATTAAATGATCTCATTAAATATATCAAGGAAATGTGGATAGATTATAATCTATGTTCACCAAATAATTGGTCAGTTTTTAAGACAGCTATTCAAACAAATAATGACTTTGAAGGCTTCAACAGTTAATTCAATAGAAACTTACAAGAAAATTCTTCATTTAATCCATATCTAGAGGCATATTTGCATACTCTCTCACTCTCTCTCTCTCTGTATATATATTTATCTGATCACGTGGTCTACTTTATTAAATGATATAATTTTTTTGGAGCTGGCCTTCCTCAATGGATTGTATTTCATTTATTTTTCTGAATCTGCTCAGTATTCTTTGTGTTATGTTTTTGTGTATTCCTGTCATTTCTATCCAATACAATATCTTTCCAATTGCGCCAATTTGTTGTATTCCTTATAATAATAAGGAAATTTATAATAGTTTGTAATGGTTTCTTCAACCTAGCCATAAAATATTTCTTAGACTGAGTTACAGAAGGATCAAGGCCAATTTGTTTTGCATAATTAATTTCTCTGCTCAAATGATCTGCATAACATTCTCGAGAGCTGGATAAAAGTTTCTTGTAATGTGATGAAATTTCTGTCAACTGATTTTAGAAATGTTGCATCTTCTTCTCTCACTGCATCTTTAATAATTATGGTTTTTTTCATATGCCCTTGTTCTACTTTTGTGATTTGTTTCATATCTTTCTCCTATTCTGATTTTGCAACTAAAACTCTCACACAAGCAAAACGAGATATTGCTGACTTGTTGGAGAGTAAGTGAGATGTGAAGACAGAGAGGTAAGGGAGGACCATCCCTTCAGCGGTTTGATGGAAAGACATGTTGCCTTAGTCGTCCTCAATAATGATTTGAAGGCTTTGTCAATATTTT